ACATTATCTACGAAAAAATCCGTAGATAACATTATCTACAGAAAATTTCGTAGATAACATTATCTACGGAAAGTTCCGTAGATAATGTTCTGTAGATATCGTTATCTACGGAAAATTCCGTAGATAACGTTATCTACGACCATTTTATCTACGGATTTAGATAATCCGTAGATAATTGACATTTATCTACGGATTTTTATGTTTATCTACGGATTTTCCCGAAGATAATCTTGATTTTTCTTGTAGTGAAAATGTGTTTGTAAACTACCCTTAACCTTGATTTCTTGATGATGTGAGAGCCTTAGTCGGTTAAAGAGGGAAGATGCTTATAAATTATCTTAAGCCTCAATTTTTAAATAATATGAAACTTTTCTGAAACAAGCCCTGTGATTGAGACTAAGGGACCATAGTGGCCTAAGCCCTCCTTTTAGCTCCAATGTTCTTATCGTAAATTCGTTGATATCGTTAGATTCATTACATCTGAAATATTGTTCGTTTTAACACTCGATGGATCGTAACAATTTTGTCTTTAAAAATACGCCTCATTAAATTAAGGAAGGAGGAAGAAAAATGTTTATAAATTATCTTTAGCATCAATTACGATATAGAACTTTAAGAAATTTTAAATTTAATAAAAAAAATAACTATGAAAAAGATAGTCTTAATATAACCTAGATCTCTAGAGAAACTAGTTGACAGTAAAGTCGATTACTAACAGCACGATACCAAAAATTAAAAAACACATCAAACGAAAAAAATAAGAGAAAATTATTGAATATTCTGATGCTGATATCATCTTTATAATGACCGAAGCATAAACAAAAGAATATCTATTCACATAATAATATATGATATATAATTTAACATTATCATCTAATTACATACTACTATGATTAGCTTGGTGACTCTTGAAATTACAATCTTAAAAGTTATTAAAAAAAAAAAGTGTTTGTAATTGGTTTAGATGATGAAATAGTGCATATAGTCATTGTACTTCATATATTATAGAATAAATATTAAATTAAAAAAATGGTTGTCCCGTCAGGTTAAAATTTTACACACTCAAAAAAAATGATTATTAAAATAATTATTATAAAAATCAACTAACCACGTACACATGATGCCTTCATATGAGAGGATAATATAACTGAGATTTATACGTACCATTTTGTTTAGCTATATAGGTATATACGAACCTTGCAAATTGACATGAAGTCAAAGTCCGTTACACTATCTCCGAGTCCCAAATCTGGCAAGTTGGTCCCAAACTCCTTCAGAAGCGCTTCTTTCTTGTTATTGGGAAAAACCCAAGTCCCACATCGACTAGAGATTAGGCAATTGAATAGTATATAAGTGAAAAGCAACTCTCACCTTACAAGCCGGTTTTGTAGGGTTGAGTTAGGCTTAATCCACTATTCTAACATGGTATCAGAGCCATTTAGATCCACTTTAAATGGGCCACCCACCATTTATCCACGTACCAAGCCCAATAGTGCTGGACGTGAGGGGGTGTATTGGGAAAAACCCAAGTCCCGCCTATCCTAGATCATTAAAAAGGGCCACCCACCATTTATCCACGTACCAAGCCCAATAGTGCTGGACGTGAGGGGGTGTATTGGGAAAAACCCAAGTCCCACATCGACTAGAGATTAGGCAATTGAATAGTATATAAGTGAAAAGCAACCCTCACCTTACAAGCACCTTACAAGCCAGTTTTGTAGGGTTGAGTTAGGCTTAATCCACACTTGTGCTCACCAACAAGCACCTTAGAGAACGCCGTTACCTCCACCTCCGTTCCGAGCACCTTATCGGCGCCAAGAAACGTCTTCGCGAACGGCTCCACCATCACCCTGGGGCTCGCCGTCACAATATACCGCTTCCCGAAGGCGTTGAACACACGCCACGTGTCGGGGTGCACGTCCTCCACGTAGAACCTCGGCAGCACCGAGCGCGACACCAGCTCCACGTCCCTGAGTTTGAGCCCGGCGAAGGTTACGAAGATTAAGGTTTTGATGGCTATGGTTTCGGAGATGAATAGGTACGTGAAGTAGACGAAGGGGACCGAGGCGAGGAGGAGAAGCGCTCGCAGGATGTTGCCGGCTTCGAGAGCGACGAGGAAGTAGTACGGAAATGCGCTGCGAGAGACGAGGAGAGTGCCGTCTAAGTCCGATGCAACGGTTTGGTTGGAGCGGTCTTTGGTGCTGCATTTGGTTATTGGCTCGAAACGATGAAAGGCTAGCATGACCGTTGCCATGGAGGGGATAAAAGATTATAAAAATTTTAGGTTGAAACGTGAAAAGACTGAGAAGGTAGGCTTGTGTAGCGATATTAGGTAACTCGAAAATGTTACGAAAGAGAGGGAGGGTGAAAGGGGTTTTAACTTTTAATAAGGTGAGGGACCATGTGGAGATGTTGGTTAACAATTTCGTAAAGAAATGTAATTAATTAAGGCTATGGATAAGTCTATTACATTGCGTGTTCAAGATTTCAAATTTATTTGTAACTTTAACATCCATGGACAGTTAGATTTATTACTTTTAATTAGGCATGAAAATCTAACCCGCTTTTGTGAGAATTTGCCTAAATTTGTTCCGATTTTTCCGATTTTGACAGAAAAAATTTGTGTTTATTGGATTCGGGTTCGAGTTTTTCCTGATTGATAAAATCGGGAGTGGGGGCGAGGACGGGAATATTAATACCCACTTTGCACCTGTCCTCGTACTTGTCCCTGTCCTGCTTAATAATATAATTAAAAAATTATTTATATATATATAAATCAAAATTAGAAATATTTATATGTAAAAACTTGTATTATTTTATTTTTCTTTTATTTTTTTAAAATTTGTTCATATTTATTTTAAATTAAAAATATATAGTAGGAGCGGGAGCGGGGACGGGACGGGGAAACCCGAGTCCCACTGGAGACGGGAATGGATACCCAAATTTTATCCCTAGACAGAGACGGATCTTTTATGGGACCGGGGGGAGCCACAGCTCCCCCAAACTTTTCTAAAAACTAATATATTTTAATATTATATTTATATATTATTATATTATTAATTGTAATAAAATAAAAAGTCTAAATCTATTCTCTCTTCCGCGGTTAACTTCTCAAAGAAGCCTCCAAAAACTGAAAGTCTTTCTCTTGAATTAAGAATTCATTTTTATCACTCACTCACATCCATGGTTTTCTAGTTCCTCTCCTAACATTATGAATTAGGACTTCTCTTCTCTCCAATGCCTTCGCCCTTCACACTCGTATTTTTTACCCATTTTTTACTTATTGTTTTTCTCATCTTATTGTTTCTCCGCCACTGTGTGTTTTGTCTTCCCTTTTTTTTTTTTCATTTAGCTATGCTCTTTGTACTGTTTATCATTCCTTATGGTGCGTAAATGAAATCATATGATATAGGTTTGTCTTTTACCTTGTGGCTTAGGAAAAACTGTGGGTAACATTTTTTATTATTATTTTTTTCCATTTTCGTATTCCAAAATTAGAAGTTTCTTCAATGGGTAACATTTTCATGTTTTCTGTTTGAAGAATCGCAATGCGAAGTATGGACAGAACTTTCAATTTTTTATTTTCATCAATGTCATGCTCCAAAATTAGAAGCTTATTTCATGGATAACATTTTCATAGTTTTTTTAGAGAAAGAAAACTTTTGGGTTGCGTTGTAAATTTGAATTTGCATTGGATTTTTTGGTAGACTAAATAAAAGCTCATTTTCCCTTTTGTTAGGATTGACTTTGGTTATCTTAGCACACAAAGTTTAGTTTATATTTTAATTTTCTTATCAATATGCATTGTGATAATTGTGAAGATAATTTTTCTTCCTTTTTCTATATAGGTGAAAGACTAAAAGGTGATAAATATTTATTAGAAAAATTATGATAAAGAGAAAAAATTGATTCTTTTTTTAATAGGAAGACTTGTGAGAAAGATGAAAAAAAAGGCAACTTGTATGTCAAGTGAACTTGAGAAATTTCCCAAGAATCCAAGAATTGAAGAAAATGAGAAACAACTCTCAAAGGTTCCTAGGATTACATATAATAAATTTGAAAATTCTTTGGAACGTGATCCAGGGAAATGACCTGAAATTTGGCAATACCCTCCAAATCAAACGGATGAGGTACGAAGGGCTTATCTAAAATGGGGTCCATATCAAATGCATTTAAAAAATTATCCTTTTGCTGTAAAGATGAGCATCCAAGGAGATGTCAATACACTTGGTTTGGCATATTTCCTTCATGGTTAGAGTATTCACCTTCAAAAGATGCTGGATATTGCTTCCCTTGCTAACTTTTTAGTAAAAGACCAAACGGACGCTTTGGTTCAGATGTTTTCATTACTACAGGTGATTGAATTTGAATTCTAATTACCAATGAGTTGATTTTCATCAACAAGTTTTAACTTTATTGATTATTTTCTACAGGTTTTAAAAGTTTGGAGGAAAGTTAATAATGGAAAGAATTGTGCTTTTCTTAAACACATTGGGAAGGATCCTTGCTCACCACACAATAATGCTGTGAGAGCTTGTCAAGACTTGTTGAATCAAAATTGTCATATTAGGAATGTTTTTCATGTGCAAAGCTTAGATCAAATTACGAAGTCGTTTGCGTCTCAAGACTTCAATTGACACGGTTCGTTATTTATCACTTCAAGCTTGTGCTTTTAGAGGTCACGATGAAACTAGTGAATCAAGGAACCAAGGTAATTTTCTTGAGATGATAAAACTCATAGCATCATACAATGATGAGGTTGCAAAGGTTGTGTTGGAAAATGCTCCATATAATTCCAAATATACTTCCCATAAAATTCAAAAGGAGATATTGAGTATTCATTCTAGTAAAGTGAAAAATCATATTGGTGAGGAAGTTGGGGACTCCAAGTTTTGCATAATTGTTGATGAGGCTCGTGATGAATCAAAAAAGGAACAAATGGCTCTTATTTTTAGATTTGTTGATAAAAATGGTTTTATACTAGAGCGGTTTCTTGATATTATGCATGTTAAAGACACTACAGCATTAACTTTGAAGAATGAATTATGTGTTCTGCTTTCTCGACATAATTTTAATGTTTCTAATATTCATGGTCAAGGGTATGATGGTGCTAGTAATATCAGAGGAGAATGGAATGGATTACAGGCATTATTCTTAAATGATTAATTGTCCCTTATGCATATTATGTTCATTGTTTTACTCATCGGTTACAACTTGCCTTGGTTGCTGCATCAAGAGAAGTTATTCCAATTCATCAATTCTTTTCAAAATTGACTTTTATTGTGAATATTGTTTGCTCTTCTAGTAAGCGTCATGATGAGTTACAAGCTGCCAAGATGGATGAAATTGCATATTTGTTAGAGATTGATGAGCTTGAAACTGGTAAAGGAGCAAATCAAATTGGTACTTTGAAACGAGCTGGTGATACTCGTTGGAGCTTTCATTTCTCTTCTATTTGTAGCTTAATAAATATGTATGATGAAACTTGTTCTGTTCTAGAAAAAATTATTGTTCATGGATCTACTTATTCTCAACGTGGGGATCACTACAAAAAAATTGCATTTAGCGACCACCAAAATTGGTCGCTAAATTGCTAAAATCGGTCGCTATTTGCCTTAGCGACCGAATTAGCGACCGAATTTAAATAGTCGCAAAACCCTAGTCGCAAAGCTATATAGCGACCAAAAAATTTTCAATCGCTATTTAGCGACTGAAAATTTTGGTTTAGCGACCGAAATTTTTTGTCGCTGTTTAGCGACCGAAAATTTCGGTCGCAAAATGGTTGCAATGATTTTGGTCGCTGATGTGTATGGGGACCAAATTAGTGACCGAATAAATCGGTTGCTAAAGATTTATTTTTTATTTTATTAAATTTTATAGATGTTGCAAATTCGGTCGCTACGAAATACTCATATTTGGCCTCTCAAGGATTCTATTTCACAATACTTCACTTTTCAGCATGTTTTGTCCTTAATTACACAATTTTTGGGAAACTTCTAGAAGGTCACCCATCCCTATATTACTCCAAGTCAAGCACGCTTAACTGTGGAGTTCTTATGAGATAAGCTACAGAAAGGCATATGCATATTGTCAGTATAGGTAGTACAAATTAATTCATTTAAGTCATCCTCAAATATACAATCTCATACTTATACTATCTTTGGATCCCTCTCATTTCGGTGTATCCGAACCGTTATAAAAATATAATAATATATTTAATAATTATATTACCAATAATAATAATTATATTATATTTAATTAATCTTTATTTATATATACTTACTTTTATAATTAACAATCTACTTATTTCTATTTAAAATTAATATTATGATACAATTTAAATTATCTATTATAAATTTAAAATTTTAAATAATAATTTTTATATTTTAAAATGAGAAGGGTTATAATAACACTG